CCCCAAAACCCCAAAACCCCAAAACCCCAAAACCCCTAAATTATTACAAATAATTGAGATTTTCCTTGAGAAATATAAAATAATTTTTCAAAATGAGCCGAAGACTCAAAAAACTTACAATAAAGAATACGATCAACACAGGGAGAAAAAAGACAGAGAAAGGTAAAATCGAGGGACAGGAACTACAGTTCTTCCTCTCAACTTCTGACAACAGACTTCAGAGAGTAAAATCTGGCGCCAGACTGTTCAACATCATTCACAAAAAGCAAGAGAACAAGCGTCCGATAGAGCTCATCGAACATATCATCCAGAAGCAATCAACTCAGGACAAATAGACTCTCTCAAGAAGAAAAGAAGGATATTGAATTTAACCTAAAAGAGGTCTTCAATAGCAACATTGACATGGCAAAGTACCTTGGCCACTCCAAGTTTGATCCATGTCAAGAGGTCATCAAAGAGAAGAACATCGAAGAGTTCTTTAAGCAAAAGTACAATATCCTCATGATGTACATTGATGATAACCAGACAGAGAAGAAGCCGAAGCTTAACCTTAAGAAAAAATCTAAAAGAGTTTACAGCGTAAGTTTAACGTTCATCAAAGAGTTTAATCATAAATAGCAAGAAATATTCAACCTCTCAGCAGTCCCTGATTTAAAATAAAACTACTTCATCAAAGAGCAGATTCTCAGGCTTCACTTCAGCTCAGGAGAAAGTCCAAGCCATTGAGGATGAGGTCTCCAGAGAGCTAGAAGAGGAATGGGAGCAGATACACAAACAGAAAACTGAGCAAGAAAAAATGGACCAGAATATCCAAAGATTTTATGAAAAACTTCTAAGTATTAATGTATCTTCTCATCATATAGCTCAGAAGAAATAAAGTGCAAGCTTTTATCGACCCTCGGTCGACAAAAATGCGCAAGAACTTTAAAGTTATCAATGAGCATATAGACACGATGAAGAAGATTGATCCTGCAGCAAAGTTTTTGACAGACAACAGATCTGGTACCAGTCAGAATAAAGCAGCAAAGAGTAATATTAAAGTCCTTTCTGAGATCCTGGCTACTGCTAATCAAGACTCTCTTCCCTTTGGGAAGAAGAGTCCGTTTAAAGACCCAAAGCAGAAACGTATACTAAAGAGGAAGGAAACCCAGAAATAGCAGCAAGGAATTATTCATTCCCAATGAGAATGATTTTATCGACGAATATGAACTAGAGGCTTTACAGCATAGAGTATTGTCAAAGAATATCAAACAAGGTTACAAGAGGATTTCCTCCTTCAGAAGGTTTGATTCGATGGATAAGAATAACTCGAAAAATAATATCCAAGCCTTCCAAGATTTCAAAAAATACATGAGGCCTTCGACCTCGCAGGCAATATTGAAACAGGAAAAGGCTTCAAGAAGTAAGAATTTACAGGGTAATGAGCCTAAATTTCTGAGTGAATACCAGACTTTGCCAGAAAAAGATGTTAAAACATATAAAGATCTCCAAGTAGACAAACACCTTATGCCATTAGAGATTAATTATAAATACAAAGTTGACGATTTTTATACTCTCAAGAAGCCTCCTCCGACTGCAGCTAGCCATCAGAGAGAAGCTCAAGCGAAGAATAGGTCTGTTCAGACCTCCCAAGGAAGAAGAATTCATAACATAAAGACATCATCCTCTGCTGTCCCTGTAAAAAGAATGAGGAATTTTCAGAATTTTAGGACATCAAGTGCAAAGAAAAATGTAGAAAGTATTCCAAGTAAAAGGCCTTGGATACAGGACTCAAACTTCCCAGAAGATTTTGCAATCGAGAACACTCTGGTAAGTATCTCTTGAATATCTATAGGGTCAGTATCCGAGCATGATTCCCAAGAATTTTGAAGATCTTGCAGATAATTTTATTCAAGAGTCTTCGAGCGAGTTCATTTCAAGTAGTGCTACAAAAGATCCAACAGAAATGGTCCTTCATATGAAAGGCCCAATATATTCAACTGCCAAGAGGAATGATGAATCTCATGAAAATAGCGAGAAGAATTGGAAAAATAGAGCGTATATGGTCAAAACTAAAACAAACCAATTTTTTAGACAAGCCAAGCACAATTACAACTCTTTATACACAAAGATCAATTTCTAAGGGGAATTTCAATAATCCCTCATTTTTAAGGGGTTTTGGGGTTTTGGGGTTTTGGGG